ACAGAAGTTGCAAATCAACTAAATACGAAAATTAAAAGATTAAGATCAAATAGGGATGATGAATATGAACCTAAACATTTTAATGAATATTGTGAACTACATTGAATAATTCACGAAACAACCCCTCCTTTTTCACCCTACTCTAATGGTGTAGCTAAAAGGAAAAACAGGACACTAAAAGACATGAATGAAATGTTAATCAGTTCTAGAGCACATCTCTACCTGTAGGGGGAGGGTATCCATTCTGCTTGTCATATCCAAAACAGAATGCCATAGATATTTGATTGCATATTTATAGGTTATGCTCATCATAGTGCTTCTTATAGATTTCTTGTTATTAGAAGTGATAATAATGCAATGAACCCTAACACTATTGCTGAAACTAAAAATGCAGAATTGTTTGAACATGTTTTTCCTTTGAAACCTCATGTAGATAAAACCTTCTCATGCTTCATCTTCTAGTCATGAACATGAATCTAATGATAATGTAGAAATTGAACTAAGAAGTAAAAAAGCTAGAAAAGAGCTAGTTATGGTGATGACTTTTATACCTTTCTAGTTGATAATGATCCTCTCAACTACAGTGAAGCTATTTCATCTCCAGATGCTCCTTTCTAGAAAAAACACATTAATGAACTTCTATACTATATAATCACATTTGGGAACTTGTTAATTTGCTACCAGATGCAAAACTAATTGGTTGCAAATGAATCTTTGCAAGAAAGCTAAAACCTAATGGGTCCATAGAAGCCAGATTAGTTGCTCAAGGATATACTCAAAAAAATATTTTGATTATTTTGATACATTTTCCCCTGTGACTAGGATTGCATTTATTAGAGTGTTATCTGCTTTAACTTCTGCTCATAAACTTGTTTCTAATAGTTATCGTATTAATGAGGCTGATAAATGCATTTATACTAAATTTGAAAATAACGTCGGTGCTATCATATGCTTATATGTTAATGATATGCTTCTTTTTGTACAAACTTGCAAATTATAAATACACCAAATCGTTTGTCTTCAAACTTTGACATGAAAGACATGGCTGAAGTTGATATGATATTAGGAGTTAAAATAACTAAAGCTACAGATAGTACCATGCTTTCACAAGAGCACTATTTAGGGAGAATGCTAAAGAAATTTGGTCATTTTGATTGCAGTCCTGGCTCCACACCTTATGATAGTAGCATTCACTCAAAAATGAATAAAGAACAAAGTGTGTCGCAATCTAAGTATCACAAATCAATGGTAGTTTAATGCACTTGATGAACTATACACAACTTAATATTACTTATGATGTCTTAGTCACTACACTCATATGTCAGACAAATTTTTAAAACCACCCCTTTTAGGATTTTATTTGCAAAAACCGACCCCTTTTGAAAATAATTACAAAAACCGACTTGTTTTCAGCCCAGCGCTGAAAACAGGTCGGTTTTTGTAAAGAGTTCTCCGAAACATCACGGGAGTTCAACTCCCGTGAAGTTTATCGAGAAATTAAACTTCACAGGAGTTGAACTCCCGTGAAGTTTAATTTCTGCTTAAAACTCCACGGGAGTTCAACTCCCGTGGAGTTACAGTCAAACATTCCCAGGTTCTCTGGGAAATTGGGACTGCAACTTCACGGGAGTTCAACTCCCGTGAAGTTGCAGGTCATCCAGAATGCACAACCTGCTGTGCATGTTTTGTATATGTACCTATTAACTCATATATATGCCAATTTATTTGCAAACAACAATATATACATGATTCAACCATGAATTATAACTCATATATATGCCAATTTATTTACAAACAACAATATATACATGATTCAACTATGAATTAAACACACACGATTATATATATGAACAATAATTTACCTTCAAAAGTTTAGTATTTGAAAATTCAGGAAAGTTACAAATTTTAACAAAATAAGTTTAAATACAACCCAATATAGCTCCCCTCATTCCTCTCCCTCTCTTCCCCCTCCCCCTCGCTCTTCCCCGCCCCCTGGGTTCCTACTGATGAGCCTCAACTATCTGAGTATGCATGCGAAGTGCCGGCTCCATCGGCATGCGAAGTGCCGGCGTCATCATCACGCGGCCGTCGACGTCGAGCGTACGCCCGTCCAAATGAGCGAGACCTGTCCTCACGGCCTGCGAACTCGTCGACGTGAGTCTTATGAAACACCTACGCTATGCTCTTCTTGATCCTGCTGATGAGCCCTAACGCCACTTGATCCTGAATCTCAGTCACGTGCGCATCAATATCAGCATCAATGCTATCTAAAACACGGACCTGCGTGGTAAACAATTTATTAAGTATCAACTCAATAAAAAATGTTATAATTTAGCTTAGATCTCATACGAATTATCCCAATCCCCGAATATTTTTATCATCGCCTTCCTCCTAGCATTCCAACACTTGTGATATGATACATCCAAGTTGGTGGCTTTATGCACTAAAAGACGGATATCTTTCGGCCTTAGATCAAGATCCTCCCTCAGATGCGGTAAAATCAATCGATATATAAAAGAAGAGGACGCATTCTTGTTATTCATCTCTAATCGAGGATTGCTACAAGTGTAGAGTCCATTGTATAATGTGATTTTGAATTGCCCACCTACTCTTGCACCCGAGCGTGAATTAAGCTTCCACGGACACCTCGCATTGCCGTCGTGGTGTCCACTATTATCTTCGACATCGTCATCTTTGCGATAGAAACAAACCACATTATAGCTTGTAGTATTATTTTTTGTTGGACTGAACTTCACATTTTTTGCAATGGAATACGTGCGAATAGCATGGATCAATTTTTTCTTACTCTCGTAAAGATCTCCCTTCATGAATGAGAAGTCCTCGGCCTGTGTATCAACACCGCTATTAGTGCCAATAGGAACACTTTCCATCGCGGAGTTATCAATCCATTCATCTCCTTGAAGTTCATCGGGCGGCGGATCCTCTAAGCCGACATACTCATTATTAACATAACATCCGTCGATGTGTTGGTTTTCCCCGTCATCACGATCTATCAAGGTCATGCTATTAATTTGTAATCCCTCCTCTTCATCATCATTCTCGGATTCAACACTTGCATTATCTTCTTGAATTCACGTGTTAGTATCGAAAGCATTCGAAGTGCCCACGAACGAAGGACCGCTCATGTATTATGATTGTGTCCAACATTCATCTTGTTGAGGAGATAAAAAGCCTACAGAATCAACTTCAGGATCTTCCAACATGCGGGAATACATTCCTTCTTAGTTCAACGATTTGCCCAAATCTCTCTGATATTTTTCAATGAACAATTCGACCGAACGCTTCTCGTCGTGTAAGACATGAATGTGACCCATATCGTAGTCACTTGATATTTGAATGTCACTTATTCTGTTCCCCACAACAGGATAATTGCAAACCACACTGAGGTGATACTTACGTGAGTTAGTTAATGTAAGTTTGTGTAATTCATTAACCAACTCATCGAAAGTACACGATTTTGTTATGAGTTAGTTAATGTAAGTTTGTGTAATTCATTAACCAACTCATCGAAAGTACACGATTTTGTTATGAACGGTCTCGTCGTGCCTCCTTCGTAAACGGGCATATTATTTTTGAGGTAATTAATCTTCCCATCATAAGAACAGAGAATTACAATTCGATCGTTCATCTTTACCTCTGAAGAGTGAAAAATTCAATATCAATATTACACGAAAAGCCAAATAAATATTGATTGTTACTAGTTTTTACATTTACGTAATAACTCTAATTTCCACATTAATTGATAATTTCACCTCTAAATACACAAAATTATTTAATACATCTTCACAAAATTCGTAAATAATTCACAATTAAATTCTAAAATCTAATTTATATCATACATATGTAAAATCTAATTTTTCTTCACAAAATCTAAATAATTCACAATTAAATTCTAAACTCTAAATACAATAATTTTCAAAAAAGATCTATCTGCTAGTTATGACCGCCTCCTAACTTAAGTTAGGTGAAGTGACACCTTAGGACACATTTTATCTATTAATATTTATGTTTGCCGTTTATTTAGAAGTTTTAATTAGCACGATAGCATTCAGCTCAGGCTATCTCAATTTGGTAAAGTATAGTTTGGCTTACATTTTGCTATGAATTCAAACTTGATTCCTCGACTAGGGACTTATTTCGTTGCTGCCAGTTGACACTTCTCTTGGTATCCTTCCTTTTGTTCCTCCGTCCTTGAGGTATTCTGCTTGATTTTAGTATCAGAATAAAAGTCGATCTTTTTCAGATTCCAAACATCTTAAAACAATTTGATTCTTTTCGACCCCAATCCAACGCTTTTACTTTTTTAATTTAGTTGATATTGGCTGTGAAGTATGCTAGGATAACAATTATTTCAATGATTCAATCTTTATATTTATAATGTATAAAAGGCTGAACATAGCTTATCAGACCTTCAGGATACCACTGTTCCCACATTTAGTTAGAGACCCATGGATTTTGCCAATGTCAAAACCTTCTTTTGTTTATGATTCAAAATATGTCTGGATCAGTAATATATGCTTTCACAAGTAATGCAAAGAAACTCGTAAAATGTTATGCTTCTGTGAACCAGGTGCTTCATCAAGCAATTAATTTATTCAGACATTTAAAGTTTAGGTACTTACATAACTTAGATTTGGCATTAGAATGAAAGTAGAGATAAGAGGTAGAACGTGTGTTATAGGAAAATCATTAAGCACTTCAGAGAACACTAACTGGATCAGAAAAGTCAAGGATCTGTACAGCATATATTTAGAAACTTGATGCACAACCAAACAATGCAATCAGATGACTACATACTCGATATCCAAGTCAAGTTATTACAATATGGAAGCAACTTTAAATAGAATAACAAAAACAGGAATCAACCAGCACCTGAGAGCAAGTTACGAGTAATGAAATTTCTTTTAAATTTAGAGCTAGCCACGTGCAAGGAATTTTAAGAGTTACCATGTAAAGAAATAACTCTTACTTGGCATTACCTTCAGCTTTTCTTTCAGCATCATTCTCAAGAATGACAGCAGAATTCCCCTTTACATCTGTGTAATCAGAGGGAAAGTTTAAAACAATAAAAATTGCTTCTAATTTTACCCTTGAAGGGAAAAAATTCAAGAATAAAAAAAAATATAGTCAACATTGACTTCTTATGCACAATCAAATTAAATTATTGTTCAGAAAACTATCAAGATTGAAAAAGAAACAAATTATTATCGACTTCTTACACAATCCAAAAATTGTTTTGACCGCTACAGGAATATACAGTTATTATCAATGTAAAAATCAAAAAATTTCATGTGCACAACCTATTGTTAGAGAAATCACTTAGTTGCGTAACCAATATCAAAAAATGTCATTTAAAACAAAAAGAAGAGAGGACAGCATCAGAAACCAATATAAATAGACAAACAGGGAAACGTCTCCACTTAAAGATGTCTACATGGGCCTCAAGAATAGAAGTATGTTTGCGGTGTTCATGTGTTTGTGTATTATATAAGGTATCAGTTATAACCCCTTTCAGCAAAAAGAGCTACCAAGACATAGAACTAGCGAGGTCCGCTTGCTCCAATGTGACTATAGGTGGGCCTCAGCCGTACTCTCCGTGTGTGTACAGACATGTGCATGCATCCTACTTAGGTGGATGGGTTGTTTGTGTGCATGAGCAGTGATGAATTGAAATGGAAATAAAATCCAATTGGTGAAAGTAGGTTATATAAATCAACAGGGAGCGCTTTTCCATCTTGACTTCAACAACTTTATTGTATATGTTGTATATCAGATTGTTTTGAAACCTATACCCCATGAATCAACCAGCAGAAAATGAACAAAATTTAGACGGGTTTCGCTATCCTTTTTAAAGTCAGGGGGGTTATTCATTGGTGTAAAAATTGGGATAATGAGATAATTTTTAGAACACCAGTTTTTGGTGTTATTCATTGGTGTAAATGGAACTGGAGTATCTGTTGTGGTGTTATTAGTTTGTTGGGGTAATTGGGGGACAAATACCCCACTTCCCCTAAAATTACACCAACTATATAAACATAACTCAGCCTCAACCCTCAAAATTACCCCATATTGATTTCTGGAACAAGAGAACGGAACAAAATTACCCCATTTTCTGGTTCTCGAGCTCGATCCCCCCTGTCGTCGTTCTCGAGCTCGAGCGCGCCGCCCCCTTGTCGCGTTCTCTCGAGCTCGAGCGCTCTGATTTTCCGTCGCCGTTCTCGAGCTCGAGCGCCCGCTCCTCCTATCGGCCGGAATCTCCATCGCCGGAATCGAGCTCGAGCGCAGCCAGGCTCCTCCGCCGTTCTCTTAGCACGACCGACAGCTCCGTCGCCCCCTCAGAAGAGATTCGACGGGGCCAAAGATCGCCGGTCTCAAGCTCGATATCCCGACGCCAAGATCGACCGTGACCCTAACTCCGTCATCTCGAGCTCGATATCCCGACGCCAAGATCGCCGTTCGCCGAACTCGAGAGCCCCGAGCCCGGATTTCCCCTGTCGCCGTCATCTCCTCCGCCTCCTCCACCGTGACCCCAACCCAGGTACGTGCCCTTTTCCCCCAACTGAATTAATTTGTGGTTGTGAAATGTGAATGAAATTTGAGTTTATGGATGAAATGTGAATGAAATTAAGTTTATGGATTCATGTGAATGAAATTATAGATGTGAAATGTGAATTCTTGGTCCATCTCAGAGCAAGGGAATTACTCCCATTGGAACAATTTTACCCAATTTGTCCCACTTTATCCCACTCAAATTATCCCATTGGGTAAAATTACCACATTGGAACAATTTTACCCAATTTGCCCCAAATTACACCAATCTTCCAACCATTTACTTCTACATTCATTAACTATAAAGATAAGTAGATCAGGACTAGTAGTTTGCATAATCTGTGGGAAATCTCATGAAAATGATACCATCTGACATTCTCATTCATGTGCCTCTATGTGCACGTAATAGTTGACAGGTACCTCTAAAATATCTTATATGATAAATTATGCAGTATATTATATATTTTACCCATTATTCATTCAGTATATATAAAGAACTTTTCAAAAAGTCAGATATAGTTTAAACTGGAAAACCATGTGGATCTGCACTTCTCTTCAGCAGAATCCTCAAGGTATGGGGCTCCATTTCCTGCCACATATAATAGATATGCCCTTTAACATTATAAAGGCAGCAAACACAGTACCCTTTTCAATATTTGGCAAAGCATGTTTTAGAGTCGAAAGATTAAGTTTATTCAGATGAAAAAAGACCCGAACCTAATTTAATTGATATTGGCTGAAAATTATTAGGATAACAGTTATTTCAACATTTATATTATTGTAGAAGGCTGAATATTTATTGGACCTTCAGGATACCACTGTGTTCCCATATTGATTTTGAGACCCATGGATTTTGCAAATGGCATAACCTTGTTCTGCTTATGCATCAAGACATGTCTGGAGGATTGGTAATAGTAATGCTATTATTCCCTAAGCAGTGTAAAGACGCGTAAAAATCTAATGTCTCTGTGAACCAGGCTCTTCATCAAGCAATTAATTTATTCAGAACAGTTAAAAGGTTAGGAACTTGTATATTTTATTAAACCTAATACAGTATCCAAACAATCCAATCAGATGACTAATTATGAATCGTATAAACAAGTCAACTCAGTGCATTATGGAAGCAACTTTAAATAGGTTAACATAAAACAGGAACAGTGCCTCAGAGAATATTATGCATAATAACATTTCTTGTAAATTTAGAACTAGCCACATGCAAAGAATTTAAGAGTAAGCCTGCGAAGAAATAACTTCAAGTTGGCAATACCTTCAGCCTCTCTTTGACCATCATTCCCAAGAGCAACAGATGAATTCCCCTTTACATCTGTATAATCAGGTGGAAAGTAATTAAAGAAAATGTTTATAATTTTACCTTCTTGAAGGAAAAAAATCAAGACGGATAAATTAGCACATTGGCCAATATAGTTAAAATTGACTTCTTTTGCACAATCAAACTAGTAGTTTGTTGGAAAAAAAATTAAAGATTGAAAAAAGAACAATTTAACATCGACTTCTTATGCACAATCGAACTAGGAGATCGTTGTAACCGTCCTAAGTTAGTTTGCAGTCATTTAAATACATGGAAAGCAAACAGCAGACGGATAAATTAGTGCATTAGCAAATAATTATATATATAGAATAGTTCCTGCTCCGAGCCTGTTTGCTAAGTAGTCGCAAGCTTCATCCAAGTATGAAGCATCCCTTACAAGAATACAAAGTTATTCTCGACATGAAAATTAAAAAAATTCATTGCACAAACTATTTTTAGAGAAAGCGCATACATGTGTAACCAAGATCCAGACATTTCTTTTTAAAAGAATAGGGGATAGTATCAGAAACCAATATAAATAGACAAAAAGAGAAACTTATAGACTTAACAATATGTTTTCTCATTTAGGTCTAGCGGTCTGCACAATTTTCCATCTCATGAGCGCAATACCATCTGACATTCTCATTTGCCTGTGTCTATATCTATGTAACAGTTGACATGGTACCCTTAACATATCATATAATAAAAATTCTGCAGAACATTAAGTATATTATCCACTCTCCATTCAGCATGTATAAAGAACTTATAAAGAAGTCAGATACAGTTTAAAACCATGCAGACAAATTAACCAACCTCTACATTTTTCTTCCGAAGAATTCTCAATGTATGAGGCTACATTCCCTGCCACATAAAATAGGTATGCCCTTTAACATTATAAACGCAGCAACAAAGTACCTTTCTCAATTTTTGACAAAGCATACTTTAGAGTCCAATGATCAAGTTAATTCAGATGAAACAGAACTTAAAAGATAAATGGAGTTCAAAGGAAATTTCAGTCAATAATTAATTGCATCGAAGCTCAACAATAGCCTAAAAAACAATACGAAAAGACCAAGAAAGATAAATATATTAACAGCAAAACAATATCCTTTTTTAATTCAGTGCCCTAGAGTTAGGCATAGAGATTGGCTGATTTCTGACAAGACTCATGTTGCTAAACATGGGACCCAAAAATTGTAAGGTTTGAATAGGTTGCACGGAAATGGGTATGGTTACTGGTATGGGTGCGGATATGGGTATGGGACAAAAAAATTATAAAATGTAGGGTACAGGTACACATCTACATATATATTGAAATTAATAATTTACATGAGGTCATTATTACTTTCCGATTCATGTGTAATTAAAATTAAAATTCCTATCATATTTTGAAGTTTCTTTTATTATGTTGATTATTATAAATTAGAAACTACTTGTTTTGAACTAAAAACCCAAACAACCTTTTAAATTATAGTTATGAACTTGGGTATGGGCTGAAATGAACCCGACAAATATCTATGAATTCCAAGAAATGGATGTGAAGTGTAAGATATACATCCAAGAAGTGTTTGACAAGTGTTTTAGTTAAAACATATATCATATAATTAAGTACATGTCTTGATAAACATATACATATGTCCGAAAAGTGTCCATGAAGTTTGGGTATAGATAAGTCTCGGGTACGTGTCAGAAATGGGTATGACTTCATGATAGAAGTACCCCGGTAGCATTGACCCATTCCATTCTGGACCACCCTTCACACTTACCCCCAAGATCAGCTACAAGTTAGAAGAAGAAGCCAGGTTCAGCCCATTAAAGTTTATATATTTGAGTTCAATTTTTTTAAAACATAGTAGAACTATAAAGTATTAATAAGGATAAATATCTTAACAAGTAGTTCTCATTGTAGGCTTGGTGGTAAAAAAAAGGGTACGCAAGTGACTATGTTGGGTCTTCGAGCCTCAAGTGGTAGGCGATATGAACTCAAAATAGGACCCATCAAAAACATCATCCCCCTATAAGCATATATACTGCTGGCACCAATCACATACCTATTAGCATAAATAATACTGGTTTAGCAAAACTGTCCCCAGACCTTAAAATCATCCAATTTCAAGGGAATAAAATAGTTGATGTCTCATCCCTCTCCTAACCCTAGCCACAACCACCTGCAGCGATCGTCCCATCATCTCTCACAAAAGCCCCGACTTCCCTTTGTTGCCAACAATCTCTCTCTCTCTCTCTCTCTCTCTCTCTCTCTCTCTCTCAACATAATTAAAACTTAATGAAACACAATTAAAGTTAATTTAATAAAAAAATAGTTTAATTGGGGATTAATTTTGAAAAGTGTAGTTTGGTCATTTAGTATTAGCCAATACCACCGTTAGGGAGGTCTGTCGGGAAATTTTGAAAGTTCGTGGGATTTGCGGCACGCCCTAATGTTCATGTATATTTAGTGGAATTAACAAAGTTGATGGCAGTGTAGTGCCAAACCCCCCTCCCCCCCTCCCCCCAAAAAAAATAAGTTCATGGGCGTTTTGTGAAATTAACCGGACAAAAATCTACTCATGAGTACGTGAATTTTCATATGTGCATATTTGATAAGTGCATCATATCGCCAAGATCATAGAACATGGTTTTATGGTACATCAGCACTGGTCAAAAGTGGAACAAGTATAAGTGAACAAACCTGTAGGTTCCTCTGCAGCACCTTCGACATAGGCAACATCATTACCTGCTTGACCATATGAAACAGTTACTCATTCACTCCTTATTTAATATTGATAAATAATTAATGAAAACAAGTTTTGACATTATTGTAAAAGTAAATAACGACTGTAACTAGGCTTTGGAGAATAAGTTCTAGCCTATAATCAACTAAACACTTGGATGAGTGATCAACATGACTGAACAAATTTGAAAGATAGAAGAAGAGGTGAAGCATGTATTGCCAAAAACTAAGTGGACTAAACTCAAGCCTAAATCAAATAGCACTATAACAGTGTTCCTCAACTTCTGGAGCAAACAACGGTATATTAGTCTGCTACATTTAGCAGGCAGTAGAAAATAAGTAAAGAAAAATTCATTAAGCTCCCTCAGTAATTTATGCCCATTGTAACCACAACAACAATGCCTGTATCCAAAAAAAAACCCCAAACTTTTGGTGTCGGCTACATAAATCTTATTCCCAAACTTTTGGTGTCAGCTACATAAATAAGTAATGAAAACAAATTGCAACATCATTTTAAAAGTAAATAATGACTGTAACTAGGCTTTGGAGAATACGTTCCAGCCTATAATCAAATATACACTTGAATGAATGGTCAACGTGACTGAACAAATTTAATTGAAAGATAGAAGAAGAGGTGAAGGATGCGTTGCAAAAAGTAACTGGACAAACTCAGGCCTAAATCAAATAACACTATAGTAGTGTTACCCAACTTTTGAAGCAAACAAATGTATATTAGTCTACTACATTTAGCAGGAAGTAGAAAATATTATAAATAGTGGTACATAGCGCCGCAATAGCGACGCTAATAGCGTTAGCGATCCCTTCTCGCTACGCTTTCGCCCAATAGCGGTGACACATTGCGGAATATGCATTTTTTGCTGGCAAAAGCGACCAATAGCGCGCCATAGTGGTGAATAGCAGGCTATTGCAGGCAAAATCTGCTTTTTGACCGCTATGTAAAAGCAGTTTGAGGTTTATTTTTTTAAATTAAACCCGACCCACAACCATTGCATCCCACTGCCTCCTGCAATTTCTGACGTATTCTCACTGCCATCCACAGCCTCCGGCACCTCCCTCAACACTTTCTCTCACCTCTTCTCACAGTGAGCTCCTCCTACTATGGTCCTCTCACAGTTTAGCTCCTCTTCTCGAGGACCTTTTGGCTCTTCCTCCAGTCATCCTCGGTATTATGTGACAATTACATGTCAATTTTAGGTCTAGAATCTTTTTAAATCATCAAATATGCACTTTTAGATTTTTTTTTAGAATTTTCTTTGATTTTTCTTATTCTTTTGAATATTTATATGTATCTAAATTAGACCGCTATATTATGACTTTGCACTTTTTGCCGCTAGTTTTCCGCAATAGCCCTAAATAGTCTTAGCGATGCCTCACCGCTATGCGACGCTATCCGATATCGATAAATAAAGAAAAATTCATTAAGCCCCTTCAGTAATTTATGCCCATCATAATACCAACAACAAAGTTTGTATCCCAAAAAATTTTCTTAACTTTCATGTCGGCTACATAAATCTTATTCCCATTACAACAGACAACTAAATCCTGATTTAGTAATAAACAGAAAATCGATAAAATGTAATGCAAAAGACCTTGAAAAATTGTCTTGAAAATTTGTCCTCAGATACAGATGGCAGCTAAACTAGATATGAACAAATACCATATGAGAATGAACTAACTGTTTACTAGATGAACAAATACCATATGAAAAATTGTCCTCAGATACGGATGGCAGCTAAACTGCAATTAGTTGTCTAACGTTGGACAAGTTCAACTAATTGTTTACTAGATGAGTCACTAATGATGACTTCAAAACGAATAAAATCAATGTCATTCTCTAGATGAAAATAAATTCTTAGTGCATGATTGATAAAAGCATCATGGCAGACATTTATTTAATCCTTGGATATTCACCGGACCATCCACATTGTCATCCGTATTACCAGTGTCTGGAATGATTTCTGGAATCTCCTTCACTAGTCGGGTTCGTTCCTCTGGTGTACGGAGCAGCTCTCTTCTGTCAATATATTCATGGAGCGTAAACTCAAAACACGTTAAGGTGTCATGATTACCCATACGCATCAAGGATGCGCAAACAGTGCGATAAATAAAGAATATCAAATCATATCCATGAGTGCACTCATTCCTAAAGGATATTCTCTGCGCCACCCCTTCTCATTTGCTCGTTCTATTTGCTTCTGTAACTTCAGAATCTCTCTGCTGATCCACTGGAAAAAGAATATATTTAGTTTAGCAATGAACTGTGGATTAAAAAGCAATCAAAAGACCATACCTGCAGAAGAATATGCTCAGACATTGTCAGTTTAGCAGAATAAATATGAAACCAATGAGTTTAATGTTACTCAAAGCTTAACAGCAAGCTGCTACCTTAGAAACATATCCCAAGAAACAGTAACATAACACTGTAAAGAGATTATTTTATAATGTAAGATACTTACATGGTTCACTATGTCCTCATGAATGCTTTTCACTTTTTTCTCAAGCTCTACCTACCAAATGATATGAGAGTACATATAAGAAATTGCACCAAAGAAAGTGGCTAAAGTCCAATAGAAATCAGATAGGTTTAGCAGAATAAAAAAGAAAAACTAGAGTAGAATCATCAGTATGACATCAACAAAATTATCATACATGTAGCATGGTCAAAATCCACTCCGGAACATTGATGCATTAATGCACTGTATTGAGTCTTTTGCTTTATAAGTAAGACAGGTAAAATCAATTGGGCTGCTTATATAACCCAGCCTTGCATATAGACAACTGTGGTGTAGATGCATGCTTCTTATTTCTGTATTTTTTTTTGCATCTCTCATCAAGGTTTAAGTCACTGCTTCCTTTCTTCACACCCTTCATTTAGCAACTTAATAAGTAAGGATAATTTCTTTAATACAAAATATTTATACGAGAACTTGTAGTTTGCATTATAATATCCATGGAATGATTAATTAAACTCATTTGCTTGGTTTGTCATCCACTAACCTGCGAAAAAGAAAGAAAATAAAGTTATGACTAACTCCTGGAATTTTATAGGGATTACACAGGGGGTGGGGGAGAGGGAGTCTTGCAATTGGGCCCCTAACAATTCTGTCTGAAACTGATTTCATCTAATAAAAATGAGAAAGAATTAGAAAATGAAATATTTCCTAAAAAATAGATCAAAATAATCTGGTTGCCAACATAAATGTTATCAACGGTTATCTCCCATATAATTCTGAAGAATCATGATTCTTTCTATTATCATGCATACGGGAGCGGGAGCAGTATCAACATAGGATATCAAGAAAGAAAAGGGCTTACTATAGTCGGCCGTTTAAAAAGGCCTTTCTTCACTAATTGGCGGAGATCTTCGCAGTCCTCCTGCAAACAAAAACCATACAATTCAGAATAATTACACTTCTAATAAAGTAGGATATGTATCTGAATTGTGTACGAATAGAGATGCTACTGGCGCTGAAGGAGTGACATCCAATGTTAAGACCTCAGGTAAGAAGTTCTCATGATTTTAATTTAAGTTCATTAAATCAACTTAAGCTTTATTATGCGTGAATCAAATACCATCAAGTCAACTTGAATTAGAGTTTCTAACTTCAGTTTTCAGTAATTCAGGTGTTTTAGCCAATAAAGTAAGTTTACTACGAATGAATGGGTTCACAGATTTAGGGTATGACTCTAATCCAATCAGCACTTCATCTTCAAGAGTTATTTTTAAAGTGCAGCTTTACAGCTTTACTTGCGGATTTTCTGATGATTATCCAATTGGAATGTTATAGATGGTTACGTTTAATAAATAATGGACATTTCGATCAATGCTAAACACACCAATCAAGTCGGCCCCATAGTTGACCAAGTGTAGTTGCATTGTAAATAATTAAAGGATAACCTGCATTTTACAAGACCTCGATACTTTGCTTAGAAGATTCTGAGTTGTATGAGCACAGGACATGTACTCTGCTTGTTCTGTCCTTTTTTCCTGCTGTAATTCCTGACTCACTTTCTCTAATTTGTCCGATCTGGCCTCTTACTTTTGGAGAACTTTGGAGTATCTCTTCCTTATTCATAAATTTAAATTCATGAGGACCTGTTTTTCTACCCTCAACTTGGCTTCTAGGGG